GGGGGGCGGGGGGCGGGGGGCGGGGGGCGGGGGCCGTTTCTAGGGACCGGCTGAGGAAGCCTGAGGTGCCGCGCTTCTGCTGAAGCTTAACCCACGCAAGCAGCTTGTATCTGCGATGGCATATGACCTCACCGAGCGAGATAAAAACTCAGGACGATGATATTAGAACTGGCCGGGGAACCATGAGTCTGGATGGGTGATCGGTCCGTGTCAGATTGTGCACTTTACACCCGCAGGCACACAGAGCAAATCAAGCGTCTGCTTCTCCAGAGGCAGAATGGGACAATTTCTTGCCCTGATCTGGCCTCTGTGCATCTGTAATACATCCCAAAATAACATTTGCCTTTTTAGCTGCTGAAACACACTGTTGGCACATGTTCATCATAATCTTCTTCTCCTTCTCCTTCTTCCCCCTCCCCTCCCCTCCTTCTCCCCCTCCTTCTTCCTGTGATGATGATGATGATGATAATTTATTAGATTTGTATACCACCCAACTCCCAGCAACTGATCTAATACGATCCAGATCTTTTTCATCTGATATACTGCTGCCAAGATATGTTTTCCCCATCCTATAATTGTCCTTTCATCTTTTCTCCCCAGATATGTTTATATTCCTCCCTGTTAAATTTCATCATATTTGTTTCAACCATTGAAATCCCACTGAGATATTTTTGAAATTTCTTCTATTGTATGCAGTTGGAATGAATGGGTGATTCCCATTAATTAAGGCAGTGCATGGCAGGCTTTTCCCTAGGCCATTCACATATTTACCCCAGTCTGTGTTGCACATACACAAAACCCACATTCACCGACTAAACACCAGCCACCTGAGCAAACTGCAGGAGACTTCAGAATGGCTCCAGATGCAAGCAAATGCATAGGATGGCCCACCACAGCTTCTCCATCCCAGCTAGAGAGAACAAAAGCTTTGCTACATTTGGAATCTTAGCTTCAAGAATGGAAAAGGAGTTTTTTTTTAGCCAAAACTAGGAGGAGATTCCCCAGCTCCACTTTTTCTGTCTAAAATGCTTTGTTGAGATTGGTTTGGGAGAGAGATTGGGGAAGATGTGAGAGGAATCAAAGGAAGTGAGTGATTATCCAGAGTCGAGAGCAATTTTAGAATGGGGGGCTGGAAAAGCACTCAGGCAAGCTGGATTCCTCAGGAAAAGCAGAGGTAGAACTCTGAGGAGGTGGGAGGTGGTAGATGGCAGGGTCCCATGGTTGAAGGAAACAAAGAGTCTCCAGAGGCAAGGAGAAGCTTGGATGGGACTCCCAAAAAACCTCCAGGAAACACAGGAGTATGACTGAATTGCACCTAAGCTTCTAACTAGAAGTTGAAAGTCTGTGAGAAGCAAGCAAGGTTTGAGAAGATAAACATTAAATCACAGAGTAAATCTCACTGACTGCCAGCATGCACTTTCTCCAGCTGTTTCCCCCCAAAAGTGTTAGTTACTCCTCCTAGTATTGAGTCATCCCCTCCATCCCTTCATCCAGGCCATTAATTAAAACTTTGAACAGCACAGGTCCCAGGACATGCAATAAAATGCTATTCTCTCTCATTTTAAGCCATTAATGAGTATTCTCTGAATGCGGTCATTTAACCAACTATGAATCCTTCTAACAGTTGTATCATTTAACCAATATTTTGCTGTGTGTTGATGAAGACACCATGTAAACCTTCATTTAATGCTTTGCTAAGGTCAAAGTACATTATGTTCATGGCATTTCCACAATTTATTAAATTAATAACTCTGTCAAAAGGGGGATAAAGTTATCCTAGTATGATACATTGGTGACAAATCCAAGCTGGCTCTTATAAATTGTTGTGTTCCTGTCCAAGGGATCATAAATATATTGTTTAATAAACTGATTAAGGATCTTGACCATGGTATAGCCATCAAGCTACCATGTTCGTCATTCCCTTCTAGGCTTTCCTTCTGCTCTGGGACTTCATGGTTCTCCAGGAGTTCTCAAAGATTAAAGTCAGCTGCACTGTGATCATCTCTCCTATTTCCTACAGTACATTAGGATGTATTAATCTGGCCCTGGAGATCTGAATTCATTTAAATTAACTAAGTATTCTCTTATCCTCTTCCTGTCTCTCTCAGCTGCAGCTCTTCCTTCCGCTATTGACACAGGGATGGCCGACATATCTCCCTCACATCAGGTCAGTTCAAATGTACATAGCCAGATGTTATTCCATGGGGATCAAACTCTCTATCAGGAATTGAACTCATGGATCTTTGCACTTTAGATCCCTTCCTGCAATACCGCTGAGTGTCAAACTTGGATAGCTCCTGAAGCTAATGTACTGTATATAGTCATCTGAAGTACAAAGGTCCAGGAGCTCAATTCGCAGTAGAGGGTTTGAATCCCATAGAATAACATCTGGCTATGCATATCTGAAGAGTCCAAAATAGGACAAAACTGGTCACCTACTGCTTCCCAGTGATCAATGTCACTGAAAACACCATATAGATTATACACAACTGTATATGAAAACAGAGAAATTTCCTTCCCTATGGCAAGAGGGTAGAGGGTGGAAGTCATATAAAACTTCATACATGGGGGCATGACATAATGCAACATCTGTACCGTCCACCTTTTGTTATATACCATTCTGATAGCTCATATCAGGTCTGTATACTGAAGGCTTAGTTCTTTTCAACAGGGAATCACCCACCACAACCCACCCTTGTTCCTCAAAGTGATTTGGGGGTTTCTGTGACGCATGGGGGCCAGAGTGTCTTCTCCCTTTTCTATGAAGCTCAGGATGGCAGGACTGGTTCAGGAGGCTGTGGATTTTCTTCTTGAGTGAGACTCACCTGAGACCAGCTGCTGAGTTATTTAAATGTTTTTGTATTTATTAAATTTATAACCTGCCTTTCATTCAAAAGTTCAAGATGGTGTACATAGTACTCCCTCCACCTCCACTCTTTCCAAGTACACTGGGCTGAGAAAGAATGATTGGCCTAAAGTCACCAAATAAGCATTAGTGGCTGAGGAAGGATTTGATCTCCCCAGTCCTCATCCAACACCTTAACTTAACCACAGCACCTCACTGGCTGTCTAGGTGAGTGCTCCTGAGTGCCCTCTGACCCTTTTGCTTCTCTGACTCACCTGCTTCTACTCGTCTTCCTCTCCAGTTTCAATTTGTGACTTTTAATTTTTTTCAGGGCTCTGCATTCTATGGATGGTTAACTACCTTGAGTGCCCCAATTGAGTATAAAGGCAGGATATAAATCAAATAATTAAATAAAACAAAACAAATATACATTGTACATGTCAGATCACACTAGCAGTCTCTGTCGCTTTCTCAGTGCTATTTAACAAAATACCAAACATATATAAATAAACAATATTTTGTATTGTCGAAGGCAATATTTTAATATTTTAATGCTGAAATTTAATTTTAGTTGTATACTTTTCATCTCAGAGTAGGCATTGCAAAGACGGTAATTTTAGTTTTTATTCAGAAGGTGGCAGCAGTTTATAGTGTATAAAGATATATTTCCTGAATATGTTTAATATCATAGGCATCATCCCATATTTCATCTTAATGAATTATTGATGGTTATTCTACAATAAGGTAAACATATATATTTATTGCGTCAATTATTTTCCAGCTTAAAACTATTTCCTCAAAAGTCCAAAAGGACTTCAAAGGAGAATTCTTTACAATTATCCACTGACCTTCTGGTCTTAAGATTCTGAAAAAAAAATGTTAATCTAGTTTGATTCCTTCATTGGCAAGTGCTAAGATGTGTAAATAAATAAATAAGCAAAAATAAGTGCATGACTACAAAGGGATTCTTGTTTATCTGGGAACATAAACCCAAATTAATATAATGTCTGCGTTTGTATGTCTGCTAATCCAGATTAAAACGGAACTGTATCATTTGTGGTTTATTCAACTATTGTGTTATCACACTGTGTGAAGCAGGCCATTGTATTAAGCCATAATATGGTTTATTTATTCAGGAATAGCATGTTATAAGAACACAGCATTTGTGTTGTGTTAATCTGAGTTTAGGGTTTAGCACGCTGTATAAATCTAGCTGACTGAATTTACTGTTCTGTAGATATGCATATGATTATGTTGATAGGGTTCTTTCTAAATTTTAGCCCTTTTCCAGCTCTGTCTCATTTTTTTTCTTGTTTATATTTAAATTTTAACCAGTGTTTTAAGCTAGAATTAACTTGTATTCTTACTTGTAATCTATTGTTGAGATCATATGAAGAACAGGTGAAGTCCATACCAGATCATGTGATGATTTATGCTTTGTTTGGTTTCCAAAGCAGCAAATATTCTGTTATTAGTCCGGGCCAGCCTTCGTCAACCTTACTTCCAATATTTTCAGCAATGGCTGTGCTGACTTGGAAAATCTGGGAGATGAAGTCCACATATCTGGAGAGCAATCAGGTTAGGGAATGCTAGGCTATGCAGAAATGTCATAGCTG